ACGAAAAAACTGCATCCATTTCTGATAGCCCCCAAAATATAGATTTTGAAAAATATTTTGAATTTTTTCTTTTTTTCCTTTTAATGCCTGATACTAAAATGAAAATTGACAGTTGACTAATTTACAAATTGAAAATTAAACTATAAATCTTAAGGCTCAATTCAAATACACAAAAATGAGAAACAAAATTAATGCAACTAAGGGAGATATTATGATATCATACTGCAAACTCCTAGTAATCCTGGATATGTTACTTAATCTTTATCCTCATAACTATACATAATTTATACATAACTGTATAAGGTTATTCTTAGAACAAATTAAGACTTTATAAAAACAATGTTTAGTGCTGCACAAATGATATATTATCTGATTACTAGACTTAGTTCCTATTATACTCTAAATATCCTTGCTCTTGTACAGATATATAAAACTGAGTACTCTGTGGCAAGTACTAAGTATTTGTCAGTTAACCGATCAAAATTTTAACTAACACATGTAACTAACACAAAATGTAACTAACACAAAAGCAAAAACCATAGCAAAAAAATCTGACAAATGAAAAGGTAAAAGATGATAGAGCACAACTCAACAATGCCTTGTCTTTTAACTGCATATAAAATTATTAAAAATTTCAGCAAACATTCTATTGATTGACTCAAGAATAAGTTACATCTTTCAATATCACTGTGTGCTGCCCTATATATACCTCCATGGTGTGACATACTGCAGATATTTTTAGTAAAGTACACACAGTACATGAGCCAAATAAACAATTACATTACCCATTACTCCCTCAGTGATAATGTCATCCAATATCTTTTGCCAGAAACTGGAGCTAGATACAAACATTATTATGTCAGTAAGCCTTAAATTTTCCACAGATTCAGATTTCTAACAGAAAATCTCAAATTTTTGTAGGTAAGCAAAATAAAAATTTATTTAAAATGAGGAATACCTCATCTTAAAAACTATCAAATGAGGCCAGGCAGGTGGATCACTCAAGGTCAGGAGTTCGAGACCAGCCTGAGCAAGAGCGAGACCCTGTCTCTACTAAAAGTAGAAAGAAATTATCTGGACAACTAA